GAGATGCAAAGACTCTTGAATCCTGGGCTTGTGAGAGGGCTCAGTGGGCAAAGGCACTTGCTACCAAGCCTGAGGACCTGAGTTCAATTCCCAGGATCCACACAATAGAAGGAGAGATTCAACTCCCCTGAATTGTCCTCTGACCTCCACCCAGGTGCCATGGCATTCTCTCTCTCTCTCTCTCTCTCTCTCTCTCTCTCTCTCTCACACACACACACACACACACACACACACACAAAGTAACAAAATAAATATAATTAAAAAAAATAATCTAGAATCCTGGTGGCATCGCTGAGCCCGTCAACTCAACCCAAAACCTGACACCTTGGAATGTCAGGAGACTTGAGGTTGCATGTTCCTCTCTATTGAAGCTGATTCGAGTTTTCTGTTCTGTTACAGCCCAAAGGGGTCCCAATACGTTCCCTGTTGCCCAGTAGGGCTGTAGGAGAGATTTCTGTGACACACAAGCTACAGAGCACCACTAATCCGTGCCTGGCACAATAAACATACTGGCAGTTTGAAGCTGTCTGTGGGCTAACCCTAAGGCTGCTTTGGGAAGGCAGACACTCGGGCCTCACATATCAGCTCCCCTCATGCTCTACTGAGAAAGGCCTGGAGAGTGTTCCCAAAGAGCGGAATCCCAGAGGAGACCCTGGCACGTCTGCACAGCCACCTCGACAGAGCTGACCCCATCTCCCAAATAGTCATCACTCAAACCGCCTCTTACCTAATGGGTTTTTTAAATTTTTGCTCCCCTGATGGAGAACCCAGGGGCCAGGCTTTGGCTTGCCTCTGACTTGCCAGAACAACCCATCAATTATTCACAGCATCAGTTCAGCCTCCCTAGGATGCTATCAGAAGGAAAGGCTTTGCTGCCTACCCAGTCCAGAGAAAAGATGCAGCAACGTATGGCTGATCACTGCACTGGCCTCCCATTAGCCCTGGGCACTGAGCTAAGCTTCCACAAACACCTCCCCACAAAGCAGCCTTGCACCTGTTTTCCAGGTGGGAGTCAGGGCTAGGCAGGGAGAGGTAAAGAAATGGACTCAGGCCAGACAGTAGGTGGCTGAGCCCAGAACTCTGGTCCGTCCTGCTCTAGAACATATGATGTGACCATTTCTGTACCTCACAGGCACCTGGGAATGAATCCTACATTTGGGCCTCAGCCTGTGGTCTCTAAGAAATCACGTCCCCATGCCCACCCCACCCCCTGGCCTCACTGTGCTGACAAGCCTGGTTTTGGAGCTTGGCGGATGGGGTAGGTACAGGTGATGGAGAGACTGGAGGCTCAGAGTGCTGAATCACAGGAGGCTTGTGATGAAGTGACTGAACCCTGAGACTGTGCTTTATTGCTTGCTTGATCCTTTCACCCATACATTTATCCATGTATGCATCCATACATACACCATCCACCCATCTACCCATCCATCCATCTACTCATCCATCCATCGACCCATCCATCCATACATCATCCATCCATCCACTCATCCTTCCATCTACCCATCCATCCATCCATCATCCATCCATCGACCCATCCTTCCATCGACCCATCCATCCATCTACCCATCCGTCCATCGATCCATACATACATACATACATCATCCATCCATCCACTCATTCATCCATCGACCCATCCATCCATCTACCCATCCTTCCATTGACCCATCCATCCATCCATCATCCATCCATCCACTCATCCTTCCATCTACCCATCCATCCATACATCATCCATCCATCGACCCATCCTTCCATTGACCCATCCATCCATCTACCTATCCACCCATCGATGACCCATCCATCTATACATCATCCATCCATCTACCCATCCATCCACCTACCCATCCATCCATCTACTCATCCATCCATCTACCCATCCATCCATCTGCCCATCCTTCCATTGACCCATCCATCCATACATCATCCATCCATCGACCCATCCATCCATCGACCCATCCATCCATCGACCCATACATACATACATACATCATCCATCCATCCACTCATTCATCCATCGACCCATCCATCCATCGACCCATCCATCCATCCATCATCTATCCATCCACTCATCCTTCCATCTACCCATCCATCCATACATCATCCATCCATCAACCCATCCTTCCATTGACCCATCCATCCATCGACCCATCCATCCATCGATCCATCCATACATACATACATCATCCATCCATCCACTCATTCATCCATCGACCCATCCATCCATACATCATCCATCCATCTACCCATCCATCCATCTACCCATCCTTCCATCGACCCATCCATCCATCCATCATCCATCCATCCACTCATCCTTCCATCTACCCATCCATCCATACATCATCCATCCATTGACCCATCCTTCCATTGACCCATCCATCCATCTACCCATCCATCCATCGACCCATCCATCCATACATCATCCATCCATCTACCCATCCATCCATCTACCCATCCATCCATCTGCCCATCCTTCCATTGACCCATCCATCCATACATCATCCATCCATCGACCCATCCATCCATCGACCGATCCATCCATCAACCCATCCATCCATCGACCCATCCTTCCATCGACCCATCCATCCATCCACTCATCCATCCACCTATCCTACTCCTAATTATTTAGAGTCCTCTGAACCAGGTACCATGATACATGTTGGGAATACAACAGTACATGATACATCCTTGTGGGTATAAAACAGAACTTGGGGATGCAATATGATTTAAAATGGTGCTTAAAGTTATGCAGGAAAGAGGCTGCATGAGGTTATAGAGTAGGGGGAGGGGACTTTTCTGGACATGCATCAAGGAAGGTCTCCAGAGAGGAAACAGTTGAACAGGGACTGCAGCAAACGGGGGAAAGGAAGAGAGGAGGCTGGCCACAGAAAGATCTGGGGAAAACAATTGTGGGCAGCAGGACAAGAAAATGCAAAGGTCTTGAGAAACAGCACAGAGGTCAGAGAAACTGGAACCAAGTCAGCCAGAAGACGGTGGGAGACGGGAGTCCAGAGAGCTTGAGGGTCAGAATCTAGAAGCTCAGACACCATGTCAGCGTGTGGATTTTATGTTGTGTGTGAATGGAAACCTCTGCTAGAATTTCAAATGGTTGAATATTAGGATCTGACTTACATTCTGAAAAGCTCGCCTTGGGCCGATGTGTGCGGAATGGATTGTGGGAAGCCAAAGTGGGAGCAGAAACTGGGGCGGAGTCTGCAGCCCTCAGTTGCCGTGGAAAGGACAGGGAGTCCAAAACTGCACTGGTGGGTACACCTCTGGCCATTCCTATTTGCCGGCTTTGTGACTTTAGGCAAGTTATGCTGCCTTTCTAAGCCTTGCTACTTGTTAGGTGTTTGCTCAGTGGCTGTCGAAGTTTGTATACTGAGGGCCAGCCCCCTGCCTGCATTCCCATCTCCACTCAGGCTGCAGAAACTGCAAGAATATAAACAGACAGCCCAGCCTGAGATGACAGTGAGGTCACAAAGCTGTCCGGGTGAGCGGATTAACCCGAGGGAGAGGAAGGTTGTTTATTCCCACACAGTGCCTCTTGCAAGCCGACCGCCAGTGCCTCACGTCAGATGCCAACCCAAACAGTACTCAGCCTACTTCTTTGAGGGGAGGGCAAATCCCCACTTCCTGCGGGAGGATCTGGTGCCTTAAGGACAGGACAGTGGGGAAGGAGGGGCCTGCCTAGGCCTCAGTGGGCTGAGCAGCAGGGGAACCTATGGCAGGCCTGGAAATAGCAAAATAAGTCTGTTGATCCTAAGCTGGTTAAGGGTGAGTGGCTCTCATCTTAGAGGGAGGCTTTCTGGACACGGAACCTGGGGCAGAATTATAGCCACAGCCTTCGAGGAGGCAAGCAAGCCTAGAGGCCTCTATTCTTCAGAGCCCAGAGGCGAGACAAAATAAGACTGTAGGCTCTTTATACCTTCCTACCAACCACCCCTTCATCTATCTATCCTTGCAGTCTTCTACTTGAGTTCCCTCAGGCAGGGACTAGTGAGGGGCCCACTGAGCCACCAAGACTCCACAATGAGAGGCCAGGCCGGGCAAGAGCCAGGCCTTGCTAATTAATTATGGCTGGACAGACAGCCTCAGTCCTTTGCCTCTGAACCTATTTACCTGTCCTGCTTCCAGTTCTCTGTCTTTCCTAACTTGATCTTGCTGGATTCCAACATCATCTCTTTGCTGGGCTCCCGCCCAATATAGCCCTGAACATACCATGCTGTCATTTATTACTATCACCTAGCACACTGGCCATGTAAGACCAGGTCCCGCCCTCCAGATACCTCCTGGTGCCACCCTGACTCAGAAGAATCTCGCCTGCCCTGGTCTTCACCCCAAGCCTCTCCCAGTATCCAAGGCCGCTGCCTCTGTCCAGCTGTCCATCCTGTGTGATTGCATTCACTCTTGCCTCTTTCCCTTCTTCACCTGTTTTCTGCTCTGATTTGGAAATTTACATCCTCTTCCAACAGGCAAAGAACACCACACCACTCGGGAAAAACTCACCAAGTAGATAAACAAGTGGCCAGCACAGCCCTCGCCCTCAAGCACCCTGCTGTGCAGCAGGCCGGTCCACAAGATTCCTGTTTCCTCACCTTTACCTTGTTCTCTTAAAATACCTATTGGTGTCCCAGTGTCCCCCAAGCATGTCTGCAGACTGCATTTATACCCTTTCTTGGGAGAAAGTGGGGTTATACACATGGGGCTAGGTATGCTGATTGCAGAGCATGGATCTGGGGTCACAAAGTTCACTAGACTGAGCTCTGCTGCATTCCAGCAAAGTATATCTCTGCTTTCCGCTGGCTGTAGTATTTTATAGTCTTAGAAACCATTTTCCCCAACAAACTGGGGGTACCCAGCTCCCAATCATCCACGGAGGGGTGCTGATGACACATGGGAAAGGGCTGAGAGTGGTGGTCCTCGCTCTGGGGACCTTGCCCTTTACTGGCATCCGTCTTAGGGAGCTGAGGAGAGCGCCTGGTGCAGCAGAGTCACAGACTCACCTTGGCGGCCACGGAGGAGTTGGGTTTCTCCAACAGGTCCCAAAGTTTCTTCCTCTTCTCTGCGCAGCAGGTGTTGTCGAACTCCTCACCCTCGCGCTCCCGCAGCGTCTCGGCCTCCCGCTTGAGCTCTTCGTTCATCTGCTCCTTCTTCTGGTGGTAGCGCGCCTGGCAGCAGGACTCCAGGTAGATCTCGTCGATGCCCCAGTAGTCCAGCTCCTGGCTGAAGCTGAGTGCGCACATCTCCTCCATCATGTGCAGGCGGCCGGTGCGGTAGAAGTTGAGGATGGAGGTGAAGGCGCCCGGGTGGCGATCGAAGAAGTACTCATTGTCGTCCAAGCTGTAGTCATCGCACAGCTCGAGCAGAGAGTCATGCGTGTTGCAGTCGCGCAGTTTGCCCAGCCGCGTGCGGGGCAGGCGGTCCAGGGTGCGCCAGAGCACTTCGTGCGCCAGGCCCCCGACGTTGAGGCGCACCCGGCGCGAACATGCCTTGCTACGCACAATCTCCATGGGCTCCGGAGGCAGCGAGCTGGTGGAGCGCGAGCCATGCTTCGTCATGCCCGCCGGCATCGCTGGTCCGGCCTCCCCCGCCCCCCCTGCCCCCCAGGCCGCTGTCACTCGACGGCAAGGCCCGCTGCCGCGGGGGCGGGGGGCGGGGAGCGCTGCGGGCCGCTGCGGTGCAGGGGTGCGCAAGGGCGGGCGTCACGGCCGCCGTCTCACCTCCATCCCGACGGCTGCGGGGCAGAAGGAGAAAGCGGACGGGTCAACCGGCCACGAGGGGCCCAGGCCTTCCCCCAGGGCCCCGGCGGGCCTTGACCTTCCCTGCTTAAGCGGCTCAGGGGGAGGAGGGGGAGGAGGGCGGAGGGCGCTGTCCCTCCCGCTGGTGCTGAAGTCAGCCCCACCCCGGGACCAGGGAGGGGCCGCCCCGGCAGGGGAGAGGCCGCAGCAGGCGCCTCAGAGGCCCGGCAGGCGCCACCCCCGCCTGTAGCAGCCCCCGCGCCACCAGGCCGGCCGGGGCGCTGTCCGCCCCGTCGAGTGCTGAAACTCCCTCCTCTGTGGGTCTCGGGTTGGAGTCCCCGAAACTGGTCCCGGAGTGGGGCGCCAGGGGAGGGGCGGGGAGAACTTTCTTTCTCTCTTTAACGAGTTCTCATCTCTCCCTACCTCTAGACAATCAGGATTTGGGGTGGGGCAGAGCGGTGCCATTGGTCTTGTTTTTCGTAAATTCTAGATTTCTTTTTTTGAAGGGGAGGGATTCTGGGGAATACCAGATGCCCACCTGTCAGAGATCACCAGGCAGCCCCTCTGTCCTAGAGCGACCCCTCTTCCTCAAACCATCGAAGCACCCCCTGAGGTAGCTCCCGAGACCAGGAGAGGGTCGAGGCGCAAAGCCAGGCTCCAGCGGGGTCCGCACCTCCCCCTGCACCCCAAGAGCAAAGGGGCGCGAAGTACCTGGATCCGCCTGCTTCGTGCTCCCCTCCCTCCCTCCC